TCTGGAGTTACTGTCACAAATGCCATTTAAAACTTTACAGTGCAAAACAGAAGCCTTGCCATAATCATCTGGGATGTGTGTCACACAAACATGTATTGTGGTCACAAGAACCAGTTTACTGGATTTATTTTGGAACAACTGGAAACCTTGAGATTTAATACAAAAACAAAAAGGAACATCCAGATTGTTATATCTGGATGTTATATCTGGATATGACTGCTCTAGGCAAAGGCAGATGTGTGTGAAGGATGAATGGGAGAAAATAACACCTGAAATGCTTCATCGCTCTGTATCCTCAGTTCCAAAGTGAGGATACAGAGACTTTACAAACTTTACAAAGTGATAGAGACTTCATCTGCCCAATGTTATGGGGTGTACTGAAGTGCATGAATGAATGCATATTAACAACTGAAATTAAGTTAACCAGATGAAGCATGAAATGTCTTACTCTTGTTTTCTTACTGTCTGCAATGACATACATTTAAGAATCATGCTGAAGAATCACCACCTATTGTTCTTTGTGTTTTCCAAACCATCCCAACTTTTTCTGCTTTGGGGTTGTATATGTAATCATAGTAAATGACACATACTTGACTACAGACCAGTTTTGATTGAAACATCTGGCACAACTTGGCCCATGTTTTAAGATTCTCTGCATTTATTTGTGTGAACAGATGGCTGAAAAAAAATTCAAATATTGACGTACGACAGATGTATATTAACAAATGAAATTACATTTTGGTTATCTTTTATGCATAACAGAAAACCTTAAAATAATGTGGTTCAAACCTCAAAACATCAGGAATGTAAAATGTTCAACAGATATGGTTCCCTCGTACAAACTGTTTCTCTTATCGATTTTTTGGTCTTCATCTTTTCAAGACTTTATTTTCAGTGCTGTGCAGGCTATCCTTCTTGTTCCTGAGCGTAGCCAGTGGTTTGCATCTGGTTGTAAACTCTTGAGAGGAGATATGTCTGTGAAGGTTCTCAGTCATCAAGGCCTCGTAGTCTAGGGAGTTTGGGAAGAAAAGCGTCTGGACTTCTTTAAGTTGCTTGAAGACGTTTCACCTCTCATTTGAGAAGCTTCTTCAGTTCTAAGGTCAAATGGTGGAGAGTCCCAGGCTAAGTCCTCACTAATGCGTTTTTGTTTGAAAACTGATCGTTTTCTCTCGGTTTTGGCCTCCCGTCCACACTGAGAGGATGTTTTTGCTGACATAAAATGCAGCGTTCACACTAGCCCGGATAGATTTGAATATGGCATTTTCATTTGAAAATGCTCAGCGTCCACACTATCGTTTTCAGTCATTTTCACAGAGTTGTGCGCCCACATTGAAACGGCCAAAAGCGCTTACATTACAGTACTGTGCATGCGTGAAACACAAGAAGATTCGGCCTGCCTCATTTCTGTCTGCCACTTATTTACCTTTCGGCTCTTTGAAACGTTGCGGCAAAATGTCGAGGGAAAGCAATAGTTTTTTAAATGGACTAACAATGAGAAGGAGTTGTTGCTGCAAGTAACACAAAAGTACAAAGTAAAAGCGAGTGAGAGTTAAAGAATTTGAAGAAAAGCTATCTGGAGCATGTACAGACAGATATTATTTTTAATAGGGCTGTCAAACTGAGAGCAAACAAAACAACTGCTGTATAATGCCCTCTGCTATCTTAGTTTAATTGGTCACATGACTGCATCACATGACTAACATGCATCATCGTTTTAGAAAGTCTCGGTTTCCGCTGTCCACACTGCGACGCAAACGCACCGTCTTCAAATGTATGCGTTTTCGAGAGCGTTTTGAAAACGGTATGTTTTTCCTTGGAGAAAACGTCGTCTCAGTGTGGACAGGAGGCCAAAACGGAGAGAAAACAATCGTTTTTAAACAAAAACACATTGGTGTGGATGTAGCCTAGAGCAGCTCTCAGGCTGCTGGTTTATTTGTTGTTCCTTGGATATTTAAAAGTAGAATGAGAGGCAGAGCCTTCACCACCTCTTCTGTGGAATCAGCTCCTAGTTTGGATTTGGGACATGCTCTCTATTTCTAAGATTAGGCTTAAAACGTTTTCTTTTTGGTAAAGTATATAGTTAGTGTCGGATCAACTGACCCTGAATCCTTCCTTAGTTATGATGAAATAGGCCTAGATATCTGGGGGATTCCCACAATGTGGTGCATTAACTCACCACATTTAATTATTAGTTATTATTCATCTGTGGCTCTCTTCCACAGCATGTTTTTGTCCTGTTTTCCTCCCGTCACCTCCAACTGATCACGGCAGATTGCCACCCCTCCATGAACCTGATCTTCCTGTTAAAAGGGAGTTTTTCACTCTTAAGAGTTTGTCTAATTGTTGTGGTTTCCCTATATTATTGTAGGATCTCCACCTTACGATATTAAACATGTCGTTATGATTTGGTGAAATATAAATCTTACTGAATTTAATGGATAGACAGATCAATACTTTATTGTTCCCACAAAGGAAATTGCTGTATTACAGACCATGATGAAGAATAAAAATAGTATTACTTTATCATCTACAAGAAACAAAAAGTGAGAAACAGCTTTAAAATAAAATAAAACATTGTATTAATATTCACCCAGAAACACCACATATCTGATATAACTGAATAAAATATTTACAGGAGTTACTCTGCTTGACATTTACTTTAAAATATATTTGCTTGCCGACCCTTAGACACTGCCCTGTAAACGTTTTATTTGAAGGGCTTGAGTGTTTTTGTTTTACAGCTGAAAACAGCGATAATCCTACTTTAATAATGGCATTATTTCAACATGAATTAAAAAACAGATTAAGGATAGATAACTAGTTATTTTAAACTTTCTTATCAGTCACACACTTCTGAATTGTGTGTCATCAGCCTCTTTCATATCGCCTCTCCCTCAAAGACACCACAGCTGAGCTGCAGCAGACTCTGGACACTTGCAGTCCAAAGACAAAGGAAATCAAATATGGCAGTTAACAAAAATAATATTGGATGTTAACACACATCTTATAAGCTTTCAGTAAGTTGCAGGAATAAAAGAATCATACCCTATAATCATGTGTATATGCTTTGTATTTTTAAATACAGAGATAAAGTAACTAAGTGTATAAAGACCTTAACAAAGTCCTTTAGGAGGGATGGTTTTTATAACAAAGGTGACAGGCTCTGGTGTTCAAAGCACACAAACAGAAGGACAGTAGGGAGATTTGAGCATTAAGGAGCAACTCGCATCACTGATGTTACGTTACTGTTAAAACAACACTGAAATGTGTTGACGATTCATTTGAATTAAAATGGGAGCGTTTTTCTGTACTGTACCTGAAAATATCTAAACTATAAGGAATACTGAAATGTGTTTAATTTTGGACTACTAACATGTTTTAATGAATAGCTGAAGCAGTTTTCCTTCTTGGTGCCTGCGGTGGAGGTGTGCTCCCTAGCCTGCTGCAGAGGAGGGGGGATGAGTTAGATCACACTGCTATATTCTTGGCTTTTTCAGTGACAGCGGAGCAGAAAGACGAGTGGGTGGCAGCAGCCTTGGAGTGACTGTTTCCAGCGTGCAAAGAACCAAAACAACAGAATCGGCTGCCATAGACAAACTGAGCAAACTGACAGCGGTGTGTGTGCGTGGGGTCCTTTCTACTGTGCCTTTGCACTGATTTAAAATTCTGTTAGCAGGAAGTTTATGTTGAGCTCAGTGTGTTTGGTTTGAGTTCATATGTGAAAAAAACAATTACACACAACTGAACAAACATTAAAATGACCAGAGACCGAAAGAAAACTCACACACAGAAAATGAGCTGAGGGAGACACCTGGTGGACAAACACAGACATGACAAGAAGAAAGACTAAAGTGCAGAGTGGAGACAAACAGCTGGAAATACTTGTTGGAGAGGATTGTCATGCTTCAGAAAAACACACAGCACACACTCTAACAGTCCTTTATTTGCACTGAAGGAGACATGTGAAGAAACCAAATCACACAATAATGAAGTGAACACATTTATAGTCAGTGTTCAAGATGATGGATAGAAATGAAAATCATGGAGCATTTATGCATTTTTAGGTCTGTGACTTACAGCAGATACAGCATTGACATGAACTCACTGGCCTTTTTCTACTGAACACTCTTTACTGATGGATGATTCGTTGTAAAAAGTGGATCTACCAACAGTTTATTTCTTTGTTATTGTGATTAAAATGTCAAACAAAAATATTTTCCACTTTTTGTGTGACAGAGGCAGGAATTTCTCTGTCCTGCATGTGGAGAAATCTGCTGTTAAATCAGAACATTAACAGGTTTCAGGTTGTATTCAAACACATATTACTGTGTATCATGTGTCAGCAGGCATGTGTTAACAGGGACTATGAAACACGTTATAAGATGGTCTCAAGCTAAAAATACTTTGCTTCATTTAAAAAAAATGTAGGCAAATATTTTCACAGATATGCATTAAAACAACAACAAATATGTAAATGAGTCATATCCAAGCAAATAAATAAATAAATAAATAAAATAAGACTCTTTGTTAATTCAGGATTCATTTTTGACATATTGAATCCTGATAGTTTCTCAGCAGCTTCATCATAATGTGTTTTTGATATCATACAATATGGGCAAATTCAAAATATCCATAAAACCAAAAGAATCTGCTGTAGTTTTTGATGCTGTACCAACACGTGTCTTCATACTGTTGATGATTTAGCCTTCAGTTTAGAAGCATTAATAACAGCTGACTGTAGGAATATAATTATTTATGTTACTGCCTCTTTTCCGCTTCCTTATTTAATGACATACAGCAGGAGAATGCATGGAGGACCTGTGATAAATACTGTATCAATAACAAGCATGAACCTGTTTACGCTGTCTCTTTGGAATATGAATAAAGTTATGAACGAGGGAGAAAAACCGTCACGTGACTGCAGGCCAACAAATCACAGCAGAGCAACAAAGTAAAAGGAGGCGTGTCCATGCGAGAATAGTCACGTGCACAGATATGGCTGCTGTTTGACGAAGCGGACTGAACTCCGGGAAGAGAGAAACTTAACTATCGATCCCATCACGTCAGTGTAGATCAGTCTGTATCGATGCTTGTATCGATCCGTCCAGCCTGAGTTGAAGCAGCGATGAGTTCAGCTCAGTATCTGAGAGAGAGAGTTCATCAAGGAGAGACTAACTGCTGTTTGTGAAGAAATCTTCTCAGAGGTTCAAAAAACCATCGTCCAGTATGAGGAGTTCAACCGTCAGCACAGACTGCTGGATATCAGCCGGGAACCCGACAGAAACTCACACATCATAGGTATGGACATGTTTTTAACTCTGTGCTGTTCAAGCTCAGATTCTTCAGTGTGACTGACTTTACTAGAAGAAGTTAAACTGGGTATTTATCAGTGCTGTGGTTCAGTGTCCAGTGACGGACTATGTTGGACTGGTGCAGGTCCATGGTCACTGCTAGATTAGCTCCTGGTAGCAGCAGAGTAAGTGTAAGCCAATGTAGACTGCAGCATCTCTGAGCAGACCAGGGACGGATCTAAAGACATTTTCTTCGGGTGGCAAAATCAAAGCCTTTTTTTTTTCAAACACATATGCAGGTGGTACAATGATTAAAATGCAGTAAGTATACACGTTTTTCATATAAATATAGTCTATAACTTAATTATTGTCTGTAGCCCACATACTTAAACACTTTAGTTACATAAAACATGTGAGTTTTGATTCTATGTACTGTATAGTCTGTATAATAAATAAATATGTAGCCCAATAAGTATAAAATCCAGAAAGCTACACAACATGGGGCGGTTCATTTACAAACACAAGTCAAACTTAAGTTTCACACTGTTTTCGTTAGAAAAAATTCAAATTGTTACATGATTAAATTTACACAAAATGTCATAAATCTGCACTGTCATGAACAAAAATGTAAACCTAATTTTTCATGATTTGTTGGGTTAACCCTCTGAGGTCCAAAATATAACCGGACATTTTTGACACCTTTTGATTTTACATTTGTATTTCACCCTCAGACTGTTTCATTTTATTCTTGTTTGGTATCATTCTTTTCAGCTCAACCTCGCATGTCTGAATTTAGTTGTTTTTTCATTGACATCATTCATTGATCTGAAATCACACAAAAAACAAAATCCCACTAGTATTTTTTTACTGTTAAAAAAAACAACACAGACATGTTGAGTAAATTATTTTTATAACTTGAATTGCAAATATAAATTGTACATTTTGAACACTTATGCACACATTTTGTAAACATGTCTAAATCTAAACTAGTTTATCTTTCCACAAAACCAGATTATAATAAATACTTAAACAAAGTGCTCTAATGTTTATTCTGCACTAAAATTTGGAGAAGCTTAAAGAAAAAAACGTTTTTTTAAAGAATACGCATTTTGTTGCATTTATTTATTTTTTTAAACTTTATTTTCTCCAACAGGATTCCACAGTTCATCAGGTGTCAGTGTTTTAGGTCCTGTTGATATTGTTAGACAGACCATCTAATATGATAGACCTTATCACATGACCTGGTGATGAAGCTCTACAGTGAACATGAAAAATATAACACCAAAGTGCAACATTGTTTCTGCAAAAATGACAAGATGCTAAAAGAATGTTAACAGAAAACTATTAATTTTATACATTTACAAATGAATATATCTCACTGCTCAGTGGTGCCTTTATTTTTAATGACAGTTGCACATTTGAACTCTTACACTTTAAACTATTTCAAAACTGGAAAACATTCATGCGTTTTTTGCATCATCACCTGTGAATTCCACCTCATTGCCTGAGAGTGCCTCTGTGACGCGCCTCAGCTGATGAAAACATCCTGCATTCATACACTTAATTTAACATGATCAATACCACACTGTGGCACCGGTCAGGCTACAATCTGAGCTCACTGTCTCTCCAGTTGATCACGATTTATTCAGGCTTAGATTCATGCTTTTGTAAAATAGTGTTGTGTGTGTTCTTGTATCATCACATTAGTTACCTTGTTCTGTTTTTTTTTCTTTGTTCCTCAAGACCTCCCACAAAATCATGACTGCGAGGAAGAGGAGGGTCTGGATGAGCAGCAGGTCTGTAACCAGGAGAGGAACTCCAGTCTGGACCAGGAGGACCCAGAGTCTCCACAGATTAAAGAGGAACAGGAGAAACTCTGCAGCAGTCAGGACGGAGAGCAGCTTGGACTGAAGCAGGAGTCTGAAGGCATTATCGTCTGGACTGATGAAGAGCAGCTCAGACAGATGGAGAGCATCTGGAAACCTGTGATAAAGTTACACAAAATAGGTATGTAAAACTCTGATGTCCTAATAAAAATGAAGATCACCCATGTAGGTGATGAGTAAAAATAACATTGTAAAAAAAAAAAAAAAGGTAAATGGCCTGCATTTGTATAGCGCTTTACTCAGTCGCTAAGGACTCCAAAGTGCTTTACACTACATTCAGTCATTCACCCATTCACACACACATTCACACATTGGTGATGGCAAGCTACATTGTAGCCACAGCTGCCCTGGGGCGCACTGACAGAGGTGAGGCTGCCGGACACTGGCGCCACCGGGCCCTCTGACCA